ATGAGCCTAAACTTAATCAAAATTTCAAATAACGACTGGCCATGAACAGATAATCATTCAAAACACAGGAGGGAAATCCTATTTAGGGAATGAAAACTCACCCGAACGTTCTCTGCGAGATGTTTAGGATCGGGAAACCCAGAGTCACTGTCACTACTATACCGCGACTCAAGGCTGCCACTTCCATCCTCTAAGAAATCGCTAACCATCACCGCCAGGTCGTGCTCACTCTCGTGGCTAAAACCTCCGATCTGTCCCACGAACTCACCGCCCTCCCCTCCAGCAAACCTCAGCAAAAAGTCCCCGGCCCGAGCACAGACCCGACAATCGCCATCCCCCTCTCCATTCCGAACGCCACCGATGCTCCTCCTATCCAACCTCCATGAACCTAGCTTTATCGGGCGGCTCCTCGAGAAAGCCAGCAGCGACCGCGCGTTTCTCACCTGAGCCTCGTGCTCTTCCCTTAATAGCATGAGGTAGCCTGAATTCCCCGATCAACCTGACTATTCCGTCAAAAAACCAAAATATCAAACGAAACGCTTCTAATTCCAGAAAAAATTGAACTCAAGTCAAAGAAATCGAAACAAATTTTCAAAACAAGAAAAACCAATTAATGATTATCGAAAGCCTACCTTATTTGAAATTGAACAGATTGATCGCCGGAAATTCAGAGACTCGAAGTCGGCGAGAGCGCCTCAACCAAACTGCAACAATAATGGATTACAGGAGAAGCCGATGAACTGAAGACTCTATATAGACTCCATTCCCGTTTCTAAATTACATAAATGCCCCCGAGAGTTTTGATATGCTCTTCTTTCCGGCGTGGTCCACTTGATAAAGAGAGTGGTCCCCTCCCTTCAATGCGTGAAAAAGATAAAGGATTTTTAAATAATCTGATCATGGCCGTTCATAGCACATCATGGACATTTTTGAAGGCCACGTTACCATCTTTGATTTTTAAAGTTATTTATTTATTTATTTTTTAGTTTGGGGTGGGAAATCCGTGAGCTGGAGACGGGCAGGTAGGAGCGGCGCTGGGCTGATCTCAGCCGTCTGATGTATATTTTTTTTATATACGGGAGCGTTATTTTGGATTTGAAAAGCTGTTTCAATTAATCAACTTTTAAAAAGATCAAATTTAAACTATTAAAATCGATTTTATTTTTCAAATATTACAAATAATATATAAAAAATAAATAGGACTACATATTCGTTAAATGAAAGTATTATATTAAATTTTAATATTTAATTACAGGTTTAATAAAAAATGATATATATAGAACAAATTTTAGTTCTCTCCTTAATTTGTTGGTTGGGAGTTTAGTTCTAAATTGTAAAAGTCCAAATTCTTAATTATCGAGATATTGTTCATTTTGATTTAAGAGCCTCATGATTTTGTCATTTTGATGTAACTTTTCAGTAGGTCACTCATTCCATAATTATCCTAGAATGAGCACATTTAAGTACTAAGGTTTGGAGGCGTTTGATGGTGTGATCTAGATGGATGGGTGCCTTGGTTCACCTGGGATTGTGGATGTCTCTAGTGTTGTGGTTGTTGTTCCTCCCCTCTTGGGATTTACGATGGTTGCTGACAATATTTTTGTTGATTGTTTGGATGCTTTTGTCATTATTCCCTCTATTGTGGGGAGTGATTATGATGATTTGGTTGATTTTTCTGTGGGGCTTATTTCACATAATGTTTTTAAGTCAAGGATTTTGTCGCAAGCAGGGGAGTCCTGTTTGAGACAAATTGATTGATTGGATGACTCGATAGATTCTTCGTGTGATTTGGATGATGAATTGAAGGATAAAGTTGGGGCCTTACAAGGCTGGTATAGTTTGGATATCTCTAGGGCTTTGGGTCCTCCTTTCTCTCGTGGTGGAAAACATCGTCATTGTAAATCTAGGAGATAGGATTCTTCCAGGTTAATGTGTTTGATCCACGTTGAGTTGATGCTGTTTGGTTATGAGTTTTACTTAGGCGTCTGCTGCTGTTTGACTCAATCTGTTGTTTCATCTTTTTTGGTGGCTTTGTTGGCTCGTTGACTTTGTCTTATTCCTTGTTTTTTTTCTATGAGTTTTATTGTTGATACATCATCAAAAAATTATGTGGATCGAGCACGAATCTCGAGGCAAAATCAAATTGGAAACTTCAAAACTTAAATCGTAGACCATCTGAATTCCGATTTCAGCAAACTTATAGTCGAACTGAGCGTCTTGG